CGTTCCGAATTGCCAAGCTCCGCTGTTTAGAACTAAATACGATCAGGTACAGTGCTATCAGGTTGCTCCACGATTTCCGAAAAGCATGGCTGTTTATGCATATTATTTCCTTTTCTTCCTTTACTGAACTTATACAACATATAACCTATGTGTTTTATGACTCTCTCTTTTGAAGCTGGAGACTTCTTTTCGAAGAATGCGTGTATGAGATATCCCTTCTGAGGTCTTCTCGATCGGCGTGAATTTAGAGAGTGCGCTATAGCAGAGTATGCGGTAACCCTTTAGCGACGAGGGCTATCGGGCGAATAGAAGAAGCCCACCCAAGCACTAAAGATTCGATTTTCCTTGGATTCGTATCGGTATTTGAGGTGGAGCCTTACAGGAAAACGTCAAAGTCTAGTTTTCCTTTCAAGCTGACTGGCGACGCGGTTAATCTGAGTAGGAGTCCGCATATTTTGTGCTGGTGGCTGGTCACGGTTCTCAGTGCGCAATTTTTCTGTACTCTATTGGCAGCGCGACAGGTCTTGTCCTGAACAGGGTAGACTTCAGCAGCCGGAACTTCCGTACTGTTGAAGTTAAGACACTGCTAGTCGTTGGATCGCTAAGCTTATAGCACCCACTTCTCATATCCAATGATTTCGGTGATTGCTTATCGAAGGTGCAATAAAGCTTTAAGAGGAACGGTCAGGTTGCGTTCGGAAGGAGTGCCGGCCGAGCACATGTAGAAGCAACACTATATTTTCATATCTTCCCGAAATTATGGAACTATCGCAGTGTTGCTACCCTAGTGACGAAGGTGCTCTATCAGGCGGTCGAAGGTCGGTGTATTAAAGGCCTTATACAACAGCGGAGCGTTGAGAATCGCATTAGAGTGGCATGGAATCGCAAGGATATTCTCGAAGTCAACTGAGACTCCTTGGAGTAGACCGTAAGGTGGTATCGTCAGCTTTTCTAACCCCATGATGGAGTCACTCTGAACCGGTGGTCGCGGAATGTGCTTTGGAGGAAATGCATGGCACAGCACGCCGACGCCGTAACAACGCATTCAGTTGTGCCTAATGGCAGCTGAAGGAGCGATCTCGAGATGTTTCTTTAGTTTTTAGTGAGCCTCATTGTTGTCAGAAAGGGAATTACCTTAAGGTGTTAGTGGTGGTCTTGACAATTCACCCCAGCACTCAGGAGGGCATGGATATTGAGAAATCTGAACGTCTCAGCCTTAGCATGTGCTTCGATCTAAAACTCTTCCATATCAAAGGAGTTTCGAGCACCTAATCCAATTGAGATCACGCGTGTTAGCAATCATGGTAACGGTAATCACCTCCGTTTATTCCATTCTGCGGAAACTTCCGACATTTAGCTTTCACTTGGCCCAGCCTTTTCCTTTCTAGTTCTCGCAATGCTTCTCCACTTGTATGAATACCCGTGCTCATAGTCATGGCCCGAATGTTCTAGATGATGATTCAGATAATTTTTCACTAATTATGTAATAAACCTCACAGTTCCCTCCGGGAGCGGCGAAACCAGGAGGAATAAATCTTTTTGGTGGTGGGAGCCTTGTGAAAGTATTAGGAAGTTTGCGACGATTTCCATGTGCGAAGGGGAGCGGATTTTACAGACTCTTCCACCAATTGTTTCTGGCTCATCAGGAGTGCATCCGTTGGTGGAAAAGGCTGTAATGACTGCGCTTCATTTCAAGCCCCTTCACACTCGCTTCGCTTCAGGGATAAACACCGTACCTCTAGTTGGCGCTATGCTGCAATACTGCAATTTCTAACAGTTGATCCGAAGTGTGTACCCCTCCTACAACTCCAAGACTTCGGGGAAAATTGGAAAAGTAGGAGAGGGGGTCGCACTGGAGTATCACCGTTACCCATTAATTGCAAGAGCCCTCGTTCGAAACTCAGCGGTTTCGTGCTGAAAAGGCCAACCAACTAAGTTCAGGTTCCCTCAAGAATTGTGGCCGGAAGGAATTATGTTAAGTTCCACGGTGGGTATGGTGAACTTTCCCCAAACCAACGTCCGCATCTCGAGATATGCATCGTGAAAGTATTCAGGGCTTTAGTGTGCTTCCAGCGCGTGTGCGTTGTCAAGTTGCAGTGAACAACGCGGGACTGGGCATTTCTCAGACCTTTGCAGTTGGTTGGTTATAATAGGGCCTGTTATTGACGCTATGCCAGGATGAAAGTCCTCACCAATGAACCCAGCCACGCTCCACTGGGTTTCTCAGGTCTCGCAGCTGGTTCTTCTGTTGAATTTAGTCATTGGTATTTCGTATTAGGAGACACCTTGCGGAGATTGGCGGTTATTTCCAGCTTGACTTCTGCAGCAAGATGATGCAGTTCTGCTCCTTATTCAATGAAGGACTGAGCACAGTCGTGGCGTCGAGCTCGCCCCTTCCCTTTAGCGCAGATAAAGAGGAAGAGGGTCTGAAAGTACTCACTACCCCCAGATTACAACCAACAAGCAAAATTCAAGTCACGATAAGCTATAGTGAGTTGGCTTCTTCAGCACGTTTCCAAGCTAGCACATACCATCTTGTTGTGTTGAATTTTGTTTGAATACGATCTTCATCACAAGATTTCTCTTCCGGTACGACCCTCTGCACAACTGACACCTCACCTCTCACCGACTTTCATTCAAAAATTTTGCCATTGAGCTTCGGGGTCAACACATCCGATACGTCATCATACAGTAATTATGTAGCACCCTTAAGCTAGTGGGGTGGTAAGGAGTAAGAGATTGTATAAGGAGAAAGGAACGGCAAAAATCAGCAGAAAACTTTCAAGTAGTAATGTATTTCGCCGAAGAGGTTGGTAAGAGAAGACTTTATTGAAAATGGCCTGACGTTTCGACAGCAGTCGTCCTCAGAGACCAGTCGGCCATCACATGAGTGGAACACCTACTAACTACAACTTACAGCGAGTGGCATCGTTCCGCTCATGTGGTGGTGGACTGGCCTCTGAGGACGACGATCCTGTCGAAACGTCAGGTCATTTTCAGTGAAGTCATCCACTTACCGACCTCTTTGGCAGAATGCATTACAACTTGAAAGTTCACAGTAATGCCCAGGTTTTATGAAAAGAGAAGCTGGACACTACTAATCAGCAGGAGGAATTCTTTCATAGCAAAATACACTGGTGTGCAAAATTTGGGGATGAAAGCAACTTTCGATCACTGTGCCTCTGCCAGACAACATAGCTCGATGAAATTCATATCATACCAAAGGAACCTCAGCGATATTCTAAACAGAAAGCAACTGACAGAACTGAATAAGACAATTGTTATGACGTTTTTTTGTATTCGATCAATGTTCCATTAACTACATAAGTCTTCACGATTATCCTGGTAGTAGCAAAGAAGGTTAACGGATCCTAATGAGCTGTGTGATCACCAGACAGCAAATACCTTGCTGCTGGCACAGCGATCCCATACTCTCCACGAGGCTGGTAATGAGTTCCTGGGGCAAGGCATTCCACTCCTCAATCAGTGCATTTGACAATTGCTGGATCGTCATTGGTGCATTTGGTCGTGCTGCAATGCGTCTACCCAGTGCATCCCACACGTGCTCGATGGGATTTAGGTCGGGGAAACGGGCGGGCCACTCCATTCGCCGGATATCCTCTCGTTCTAGAAGCTCCTCCACCTGTGCTGTTCGATGCGGTCGCGCATTGTCATCCATGAAAATGAAGTCAGGGCCGATTGCAGCTCTGAAAAGACGGACATGATGTAGGAGAACCTCGTCGCAGTAACGCTGACTGGTGAGGGTTCCATGCTCAAAAATCTGGAGGTCAGTACGGCCATGCAACATGATGCCTCCCCATACCATAACACCTCGACCACCAGTACGATCACGTTCGACAACGTTTACGGGTTCGTCCCACTTCCTCGCCATATGAGGGTGCGCCCAGAATCAGTGCTCAGACTGAACCTGCTCTCATCCGAAAAGAGCACACGGCTCCATTCCTCATCGGTCCATTCGCCATGCTCCTGGCACCACCGTAAACGGTCTCGCCGATGCGGGGGTCAAAGGAACACAACGTAACGGTCGTCGGGCGAAGAGACCACCACCATGCAGTCGTCTTGCCACTGTAGTGCGTGAGATGGCTTGCCCTAGAGTCCTGTTAAACGTCATTGCAATGGCCTAAGCCGACTGACGAGGATCTCTTCTTGCCTGCTGCACAAATTCAGCGGTCGTCCCTTGGTGTAGTTGTCTTTGGTCGGCCACGTCCTCGCTTCGGGCAGCAGTACCAAAGGTTCGGAGCGCTCTCCATGCACGTGAAACAATGCTGTGAGCGATACCGAACTCCTGGGCTACACTCGTCATGGTTCGACCTTCTTCGAGTTTCCCTATGATCCTTCCTTGAGTGAAGTCATCCAGATGCTCTTCGGGACATGACGTATCGAAGGATACTACCACAGTTCTTTGCAGCTTCTCGTTGATTGAGAAAAAAAAATTCTTTCATGCCCATAGACTGCCTCGATTTGCGCGGTCGGCCATATTTGGTACTTTATTCAAGCTCTTCTACCACCGAGAAAAGTCTAGCTTCCTGTGCATGTCCCTTAGGCAAGTGGCAACATGCTCCCACACTTTCATTTACTTCCACCCAGTCATTAGTGTTTTATGCTACTTTATCCATCTCCTCCCTAAGTTTTGCGCACCAGTGTACGACCTCAGCTCCGGATTAGGGAGCCTCTGTCGAACTCGGTTCACTACTTTTAGTATCTGTGGCTCATGGAATATTCTTGGGAACACTTGCATAGGTGACTACTTTTGAGTTCTTCATCTATCCAACCCTCTTTGTTCCAGGATGCAGAACACTAGCGGGGAGCTGGACGAAAGCAGAGTGGAGTTGCTCCAAACTGTTAATTCCATCCTAGCATCAATCTGCGGTTTAACTATACACTGCTACATTTTGTGTCGAATATTCAAGAACAACTCGTCTTTGAGCCATTACCAAAATCTAATCGTCGTCCAGTCAGTGGTTGGAGTTCTTTACATTATGACACAGCTAGTAGCTAATGAGGTGAGTTCTATTCTTACTGAACACCTCTGTTTGGTGCGTCAGAAACTGCTCAGAAGGACCTGTGCCAAAGATTTAACCACGATAGATTTCTTCCAGGTCCTCACCTTCCATCTGAAAGGTGACGATGTGGAATAATGGGATAGCGAAATTGCTAATGCTCGGATTAGGGTTGTGACTTGCCCTCTTTGAGTGACCAAATAAGCCGAGTGAGATTGAATGACGTTTGTCTGCTAATTCTATCAATCGTGTGTTTCCCGGCCGACAGGTCACAAACAGAAGAAATGCCACTTTCTTCTATTTTTTCCTTTTTTAATTACTCAGCACCTTGACTTCGGTATTTGAACCATTATTCCTATCAGTGGCAACCCGAGCTCCTTATCGTCATGCTCGTGCAGGGGCCTTTGAGGCCCTCCAACCATCTTTTCAAGTGAGATCGCCCATGAATCGACACTGTAGATTGCCATCAACCAGGTGATTACTACTGCAGTGAAAGGTGAGAGCAAAAGAAGTACATCTATTTCGGAAGTTACGCTTATGATAGTCGGCAGCGTCAACAGCAGGCATAAATAATTAATCGATGGGGATCTGTCAATTTCTTCCTGGACTAGGCTGCGCATGATGATGCGGTGGATGTAAAACCGTTTTCAATCTCATCATGAGAGCCTGGGCACCAGCTATCCGATCCGGAGTGATAGAACATTCAGTTGGTGGAAATCCACTTTACTCGCTACTGGACTGCCACCGGAAGGCGAAAGCGGAACCAATCGCCACAAACCCCCAAATAAGGAAGTCTTCAGTCCCTCTCTTCTTGCAGCCTCGGTATTTTAGATGTAAGTTCTCAACTTGTTTTGTGCCTCACGAGGTTGATATGTGGAACTATAATCAGTGGGGCCTAACGTTGCAACTGAATCGTTGTCTTCACAGGCCTAAACCTGTGTCAAGGATACTACCTCATTCTGCCCCAGAACGCTCTACCCCAACAAGCGCCTCGGCAATTCTAGCGGCTTCAACATCGCGTCCCCTCGAGAAGGCCCCTAGTATCGCGATAGCCAAGTTACCGACGGTTCCACCTTATAAGCGACACAAGTGCGATAGTTGCTTGTAAGTGAGAGATACTGTGCTGTCTCCGTATAATAGAATATTGCGGAGACGCACGTAACGCTCTGTCATTCTACAGCTCGCAGTGTGGTATAAACGGCAGAAGGTCATTTGTTATTGCAGGACACTCATCTCGGCTGTTCATTCTGGGTTTTCTGGTGAAAATCCAGAACGCTTCTAATGCTTTTCTTGCAGAAATTTCCGTCTCATGTGCCAGCAATACGCACTTTATTTCGAACTCCACACCATTATGTTGCTCAACTTTATGCCTTCCGAGGGCTGTTGTGAGGGTACCGCGTCTCATGCTAGCAAGATGTTCCTTGATACGAGTAGCCAAGACCCTTCCTGTCTCCCCAATATATGTGGAGTTACATGCCTGACACTGGATTTCATATATTACTCCCAACTGCGCACAGTCACCAGTTTTCCCGTGTGGGCAAGTAACACAATTTTCTGATATGCACTGCTTGTCATAGAGCCTGTTACGGACCAGCTGCTGTTTGATGTTTCATTTGGTATATTTACCAACTGGACATCGTCCTGCAGCTGGGCCCTTACTATGCTCCGTTTGATCGCAGCGCTCACCTTATCAGAAATGAAGGGAATACATAAAGGTATTTTGTTTCTGACGCGGGTACTTCTCACGGGCTTCTCCTGCCTCCCTTGAGCAGGTGGTGCCATATAACCATTCATAGTGGGCTAACTGTCGTGATTCTTCTAGCTCACATCGCCCGTGCACATTCCAGTTGCCGTTCTACACATGCTGCGAACAATGGCGCGTTTTACGCTTATTGGATGTGCCGATGTGGTGAACCAAGATATTTTTCGAGCTACTTTTACGGTACCATTTTACTCGAGCGATGCCATTGGATATATTAACTTGCGTGTTTAGATAGGGTTACTCAACCGTCTTTCAAGGTTTCTCGGCCAGTTCAATGTACTGTGACTGCTCATTCATAAGGCGGAAACACTCATCCATTTCGGACTGTGTTGATGTTATTATGAAACAGTCATCTATATATCTAGAGTACATTAAAGGTAGGCGTTCTAGCACCGGTTGCTCTATTCTACCCATGAAGCAAACAGCGAGGACCGGTGCAAGACGCTGACCCATGGCGAGTCCTCTCATTTGACAGTAATATGTGCCTGCCCATTTGAAGATGTTACAACTCAAACATTCCTTGATTAGAGTCATGATGTGCGCTTTGTCGAGTCCAAAAGTTCATATATGAGTAATGCGCACTTCAGATAACGCGTGCAAGGCCTGCTCGTTTTGGACGTTGGTGTAAAGCGATGTAACATCAAATGACTCTACCACAGCTCCGTTTTGGATGTTACAATTCCGTAGCTGTTCAAGGAAATGATTGGTATTGGGCAGGTGAGAGGGAACCATGGGTAACAGTTGGCTGACGATGGCGTTAAGAAACCAGGATATTCGATCGGTCGGTCTCCCACGCAGCCAATAATGGGTCGCTTTTATACGCAAGGCAGTGATAGCACATCACTCTAAAGAGCAAGCTTGTAGGTCTTTAAAAGTCTATAGAAAACTGGGAAATTTGGGTTGTCCAGTTGAACCTACTAATCAACTTATCATCGAACATTGCAGATTTTCCGATGCACAACCATGCATGATTGAGGCGTTTGCATTGCGATCAAAAGTCTTTTTCACTAATGCTTTTCGCTTAGGTAATGCCAAGAGTCTTCGTAAGTCAGGGTTCTCCAATATTTTTGTTAGAAAGAGCATGACCGCTGAGGAGAGAAGCAAGATTTTGAACTCAGGAAGTTGGCTAGAGAAGAAGAATGGAAGGCAGTAGCAGTCGGGACTGGGTAGTCTTCCGTGGTCAAGTCAAACACGTCTCGGAATTACCCAGAAGGAACTCGGGAAACGCTTAGGCCCGCATGGCCGGCAAATACCCCTCTCTTGTTTTCCTATTTAACGCACGCAGCATTTTAAATAAGACCGACCATCTTCAAATTTTCGTGGCAAGGAAGCCGGACTTGATCTTCATCACTGAAACATGGCTTAACTCGAGGTTAGGAATTCCGAATTTTAGGTATTGTTCCCTATGATGTGTTCCGTCGGGACAGGGTCAGGTGTAAGGGTGGAGGCGTTTGTTGTGTCTTTAGGAGCCACCTCTCCCTGCAGCTTGTGCCCATTAATTACTCTTGAGTGCAGATGCTATGTTTCGAGTTAATTAGCGCAACAGATCTGTCCTGCATCAGATTCATTGTCGTTTACCGCCCCCCTAACTCTTCCAAAGAGGATGATGAAGACCTAGTCCATCTGTTGACCTCTTTAATTTCTTCCGAACGGGACATTGTTATTCTAGGTGATTTTAATCTTAAGGTTGATTGGTCCAACTCTTTAGCTCCAGATGCAGTTTCAAGGTATTTTTTGAATTTCTTTTCACAGGCTGGCTTTAGGCAAATTGTGAGAGAGCCCACCCACTCTGGGAACATTCTTGACGTGATTTTCATTTCCAGGCCCATAGTGGATGGTGTTACAGTCCTTCCCCCCCTCGCTACGTCTGATCACTCTATGCTTTCTTTTTCGGTGGATGCTTCCCTCCCTCCCTTGCAAGTGCCTCTACCCAAACCTGACTTTCTCCGGACGGATTACACAGCCTTAGGTCGCAGCCTTAATGAAGTTGACTGGGTACGGGTTTTTGACGGTTATACTTCTGCGTCTGATTTATATCGCAGGTTCTGCTCCGTGGTTTACAGTAGTTTATCTTCAACTGTTCCTTTTCGTTATCCACGAACATCCTGGGCTACGTTCCCCACTCGGCGTTGCTTCTGGGACATTGAAGCATCTTTTTCTCTATGTCAATAACAAGATCAAGTCTAATTCACGCTTGCCTTCCATTGTTGATGGAAATGGTTGCTTTTGCCATAGTGATGGTAGTAAAGCGGTCGCTTTGGGCGATTACTTTGCTACCTCCTTTTCAAATCAGAGTAGTTCTAATATAGGGCTGCACTGCAGTGAGCTTGATTTCCATTATACCTGTGATAACATCTATTTTCATCCTTCCGATGTTTATGAGCTGCTCAAACACCTCAAACCCTCGACTTCTGAACCCTATGATGGAATCCCACCAATTGTCTTCCGTAAGTGCGCCTCATCGTTATCTGGACCTTTGGCGCATATTTTCAACGTATCCTTCATGATGGCTGAGGTTCCTGAGCTTTGGAAAGAAGCATTGGTCACCGCTATTCCAAAGGTCTTGCACGCTCAGTCTGTCAGTGATTTCAGACCTATTAGTCTCACTTCTACACCAGCCAAAGTAATGGAGAAGATTATAAGAGGAAAACTGTTGTCCTGGTGTCGCAGATTCAGAATCATTCCACCGGAACAACATGGGTTCCTTCCCGGGGCTAGTACGACTACCAACCTTGTCGAGAGTGTATATGACTGGTGCCTAGCCTTAAATCAAGGTAAATGCATCGACGTCATTTACATTGATTTATCCGAGGCGTTCGACAGAGTCAATCACCAGAAGTTGTCTTGATAGGCTTGGGATACGTGGCGGTCTGGAGGTGGTTGGAGTCTTACTTATGTTCCCGTCATATGACAGTCAGGGTTGGTTCGGGTTTCTCCAATAGGCACCTCTGCACCAGTGGTGTGCCACAGGGCGGAGTCCTCTCCCCACTTTTATTCCTTTTGTACACTATTGAGTTGCCCAAGGTCGTCAATACCTCAGTAAATGTTAAAGTGCAGGTCTATGCGGACGAGTTGTATGGTATCTATGATGACAGAAACCGTGATGATGTTTGTGCAGCTCTTAAGCAATCTGTTGAGAAGCTCAACCATTGGGCGGCGAGTCTTGATTTGGCAGTGAACTTAAATAAGTGTTGTGTGCTCCATATTGGTAGTGGAGCCGCCATGTCATATGAAGTGAATGGGGTCCCCCTGAAATGTTGTGAGACTGTTACGGATTTGGGGTGTGATCGTCTCAAGTTTTCTGTTCAGGTTGATCGTGTGACCAGTAAGGCTTATGCTTCGCTCTTCAGTATTTTCCGTAATGTCCGAAGTAGTAGACCTGATATTCTATTAAGGCTTTACAGAGCCTACGTATTGCCGCATTTGGAATACAGCTCGCAGGTGTGGAGCCCGCTACGTAAGAACATTCTAAAAATTGAAAAAGTGCAGCATTTGGCCACCAGGTTAATTTTTCTCCGAGGGAATAGAGGTGTCCATAGGCGAAGCATTCCGAGCTATGATGAACGATTGAAACTTTTCGGTTTAGATAGTTTACAGTATCGCAGGGTTGTTTCGGAATTGGTTCTTGGGTCCTGTATTCTACGTGGTAAAACTAAGTTAACGGTTTGGTGGTCATCGGCTGGTGTGATCCACTATAACTTTTTATCACCAGGCCAAACCATCACAGCAGAACCCTACTGTGAAGAAATCGACGAATTGTACCGAAAATTTTGTCAGATGCAGCCAACACTTATCAAAAGAAAGGGTCCGATTTTTTGCATGACAACGCCCGCCCACACGTTTCACAAATCACTATCCATAAATTGAACGAATTGGGGGTTGAAGTTCTACCTCACCCGCCATATTCAGACCTTTCACCAACCGACTATCACCTTTTCAAACATTTTCAGAACTTCCTTGCTGGAAAATACTTCATCAATCAGGACCAGGCAAAAAAGCCTTCGTGGATTTCGTGGATTCTCGACCACCCAGTTTTTTTCTTTGATGGGATTTCTCGACTGCTGTCACATTGGCAAAAGTGTGCTGATTCGAATGGTGCTTATTTCGATTGAATCCGATGAGTATTAAGAAAGTTATGATCGTTTAAAGTAAAAAGACTGAGAACATTCCCGGACAACCTAATAATACAAGAGGTGGTACTCTCACAGGAGCCCTCAGAAGGCATAAAGTTGAGCAACATAATGGTGTAGAGTTCGAAATAAAGTGCGTATTGCTGGCACATGAGACGGAAATTTCTGCAAGAAAAGCATTAGAAGCGTTCTGGATTTTCACCAGAAAACCCAGAATGAACAGCCGAGATGAGTGTCCTGCAATAACAAATGACCTTCTGCCGTTTATACCACACTGCGAGCTGTAGAATGACAGAGCGCTACGTGCGTCTCCGCAATATTCTATTATACGGAGACAGCGCAGTATCTCCCACTTACAACTAACTATCGCTCTTGTGTTCGCTTGTAAGGTGGAACCGTCGTTGAGTTGGCTTTCGCATTATTGGGGTCTTCTCGAGGGGTTCCTGACACGATGTCGGAACCGCTAGAGTTGACGAGGCGCTTGGTGGAGTAGAGCGCAATCTAATCCTTGAAACACGTTCAGGCATATGATGACTATGCCATATTGAATAAATATTGGGTTGGCAACTAGGTAATTGCGGATTTTTCAGAATATCAATGACAATTTTTTCATGGAACGAAATAATTTTATTCTGTAATGTATTGCCCATTTTTATCAATGACCTTTTGCCATCTTTCAGGCAGCATCATAATCCCACGTTCATAAAACTTCTGGTTTTTATTAGCAAAAAACTGAATCAGGTGCGATTTGACATCATCATCATTATTGAAATTTTTACCATTCAAGGAGTTTTGTAAAGAGCGAAACAAAAAGTAATCTGATGGTGCAAGGTCAGGACTATATGGTGGATGTGGCAAAACATCCCAACCAAGCTCCAATAATTTTTGCCGAGTGGCCAAAGATGTGTGTGGCCTTGCATTATCATGATGGAATACCACGCCTTTTCGATTTCAACAATTCGGGCCGCTTCAACAGCATTGTTTAATTTCGTTAGTTGTTCAATGTAGACATCAGAATTGATCGTTCGGTTGGGTGGTAAGAGTTCAAAGTAGACAATTCCTTTGTAATCCCACCAAACTGATAACAAAACCTTCTTTTGATGAATATCAGCTTTTGATGTTGTTTGAGCTGGTTCACCTGGCTTGCTCCACGATCTTTTCCGCTTGATATTGTTGTAAACAACCCATTTTTCATCGCCAGTTATCAGTCGTTTAAAAATGGATCATTTTCGTTACGTTTCTTAAGCAAATCGCAGTTGTTAATGCGTTAAATGCGTTTCTTTCAGTTCATGAGGAACCCATGTATCAAGTTTTTGAACATAGCCAAGCTGTTTTAAGTGATTTTCAATGCATGTATGTGATACATGGAGCTTCTCTGCGATCTCACGTGTTGTACTGTGACGATCCGAATCGATTATTGCTTTGATAAGGTCGTCATCAACTTCAACTGGACGACCAGAGCGTTCTTCATCTTTGAGTGAAAAATCACCAGAACGAAATTTGGCAAACCAATTTTGACACTGCCGTTCTTTTAAGGCTTCGTCACCATAAACAGCACATAACTTTTTGTGAGCTTGCGATGCGTTTTTCCCTTTGCGGAAATAAAAAAGTAAAATATGACGAAAATGTTCCTTTTGATGTTCCATTTTTCAACGAACGCCAAACAAAAACTATGCAACCAATCAAAAAACTTTTTATACCGATTGATAGCTGAATTGCCAACTGTCTAATAACAAAATAAGTTTTACACTTGCTCTACGTCAGCAAACCTAAAAATTCAACTGAAACCATCTATGAGTGAAATCCTGCTGTTACTTAGTTGCCAACCTAATAGTTCCACCTATCAACCTTGTCGGGCACAAAACAAGTTGAGAACCGCGACTTAGAGTCTTTATTAGCCGCTTCAATCGGATGACAGTATGTGGACGAGCACACGCCTCAGCTAAATAATCGCTGGTCAACGGTCAGAGCGGAAAGATCACAGCGACTGCTAAGTAAGCGTCATCCATTTCATTTTATTATACATCATTTATTATACGCCAGCAAATCTCAGGGCGATACTAAAAAATGTTTCAACAAAAAAAAGCTCCCCACTAATTATATGATAGTGAAACAGCGGCCGAACCAAAAAAACAGCGGGAAAGAGACAAAAGAAGTTTGAAACACCAAGAGGCGCCTTACGTGCAAGGGAACCTTGGCTATGTATCATCGAACTATTGCTTCGTCACCAATGAGAACCCTGGAGTAGAGGATAAATCATTGCAGCAACTGATCAAAGCATAACCACTTGGTAACTGGTACGCTCACTTACAGATTTGTGGTTTCAGTGGGCGCAGGGGCCGGTATGTTGCGCCTTGGTAAGAGTCTATAAGAGAGCCTTTATTTGTAGAAGGCGTCACGCAGCGCCTGCTTATTTTTCCTGCTAGGCGCATTCACTCTATACGCCCTATACGTAGAGTCGATTTGGTTATCGCAGCTTATTTTTGATGATTCGACACAGATAATAATGAACTTCTACAAAATCTGAGACGATTTGGTTTTTTTTTTCAGAAACAAACCTTATCTGGGGAAACTGTCATGTTTTTCTCTTTTCTGCATTTTGGTCCAGTCGTCGAGAGAATATTGAGCTTATTAATTGGTTCGCTCTATGCTATGGAACAGTTTCTCATTATGGTCTTCAACATCCATCGAGTGCTGATTTTCTTG